TTCCAATGCCCGACAATCCTTTCTGTGAAGAAATTTTTGATAGTATTCAATATAAACCTCCCCTGGTGCAATTTGACATAATTTCATTTTGTCTTGTCCCTTGTTACCTGGAGAAGAGGCTTACCCCCACCTGGAGTTGTGGAGGTCACTCCTGAGTCTCCTTTCTCCTAAATATCCTCAACTATTCCTCATCAGATGTGTGCTCCAAAGTTTGTTCGTTCACAGGTTTGTTTCCCTTTCCTCCCCACCATGTTCATTGTGTTTAATTCTGAACACTTAAATATGCAGTAGAAACTTTTCTATTCAAAGCTCCTGAATAATATACAAAGGAAGTTTTTCTGGAAATGTATGGCTGTTGCCATTGGTGGCCTCTTAGCACCAAAATCAACAATTCTAAAATGCACAGTGCAAAAGAAATTTTCACTTTCTAAAGAAACAATCTGTTCTTGATTACTTTAAAACAAACAACCAAAACAGACCAGAGCAACAGCACACACACTTGGTTCCTTTCATGGAGCAGATGCCTTGGTTGTGTTTTGTTGTTACTGTGCCCTCAAGAGCATGGAATCCAGCACTCAGGAAGGATGATCCTATGGAGCTTTTTGTAACCAAGTGGATTTTTTCTCTGTTCTCTAGAGCGGCGGTTTGGGCAAAATGAATATTCCAGTTCTGTCAGACCTCACAAAGGAGATCTCCCGTTCTTATGGGGTGCTGCTGGAAGGACCTGGCATAGCACTGAGGTAAGGCTGGACTGCTGTGCTGGGACACAACCCAGACTAACCAACATAGGGCACACTGTGCCCTCCTGCAGGGAAATGGCATCAGGTGAAGACTGGGAGATGTCTTCTGCTGCAGGATGGCTGGATGCCACCCTAGGAATAGGGCACCTGCTCATTTTGGCCATGAAACTGAGAATGGCTCCAGGCCTCTCTGAAAATGTGTGAGGGAAAAGCTCTTCTGCTGGGAGAGAGGCCAAGAACTCCATGTCCCTAACTCCATGTCCATAGAAGGGCAATTTCTGATAATTTCCATAGCAGTCCCTGAGAAACAGTGGATTTGGGTAGCAATCTTCTGGAGACCTTCAGTTCCTGATCTCTTTGGCTCAGGAACTTTTGGCATTTGTTTACTGAGAGATTAAGTTAATTAGTATGGTATGATTGGGAGTTTGGTTTTCACAAATACTTGTATGCAACAGGATTTAATTTAGTAGCATAATGCACAAGCAGCTCCTCACTCAGCACTTACAGATTTGACCAAAAAGACAAGGGCAGGATGTCAGCTTTCAGTTTTGAAGCACAGGTGGAACACTGAGTTCTCCCTTTGCTGCCTCTGCCTGGATTGAATAGTCTCCATAGATACTTAGTAATTTCACAGTACCACAGCAGTGGTGGATCACTCTGCTAACAAACAAGATACCCAGTGCTGCAGGTCCCCTCCTAACTGATGTGTGTCACTGCTGAAATTGTGCACCCAATTCCTTGTGTTTGGTCTGGGAAATTGCTTTGCCTTGCCTGAATGCTGCTGCATTGCAGAGGTCTGTTCATCATTGACCCAAACGGGATCATCAAGCACCTGAGTGTCAACGACCTGCCCGTGGGGCGCAGCGTGGACGAGACCCTGCGCCTGGTCAAGGCCTTCCAGTTCGTGGAGACACACGGCGAGGTGTGCCCTGCTGACTGGATTCCAAACTCCCCCACGGTGAGTGAGCTCAGGGATAAATGTATCCTCCTCAAGAGAGCCACTGGTGCTTGTCTGCAGGGCTGGGATCCTCTCAGGTGTAAGGTGCTTCACTGTGTCGTGCCTGCTGTCAAAGCTGTTATCGGCTGGGCCACTTCAGTCTGTTTGTCTGAAAGTAATTGTGGGATGTTTGTGAAGAAATTTTCCTTTTAGGAGGTGCAAATTGTGTTCAAAACTCCAAATTTGACTTGGACTCTTCATTAACTGAGCTCAGATTTTTTACTTACTTAATACATTGTAATTAAACAGAAAAACATGGTTTATAGGTTAGCCGAGTTCAGATATGTTTCTTACTTAATGCATTGTAATTTAACAGGAAAGATGTGGTTTATATGTTATCTGAGTTCAGATTTTTTATTTATTTAATTCATTGTAATTGAACAGAAAAATGTGGTTTATCTATTAGCTGAGTTCAGATTTTTTACTTACTTAATGCATTGTAATTTAACAGGAAAAATATGGTTTATATGTTATCTGAGTTCAGATTTTTTATTTATTTAATTCATTGTAATTAAACAGAAAAACATGGTTTATAGGTTAGCCGAGTTCAGATATGTTACTTACTTAATGCATTTTAATTTAACAGGAAAAATGTGGTTTATACGTTATCTGAGTTCAGATTTTTTATTTAATTAATGCATTGTAATTTAACAGGAAAAATGTAGTGTATATGTTAACTGAGTTCAGATTTTTTATTTACTTAATTACTTACATTTTAGGTTTTTTTTTTACTTAATTACTTTTTTTTTACTTTAAGAGGAAAAATGTGGTTTATATTGAAAATTTTCAAGTACGACTTGTACGTGATCTAGGCTTTTGTCTTTCAACCAACTTTCAACGAATCAATGAATAGATCACTGTTTTTATAAAGTATGCATGTATTTTCTTGGATAAAGTATCAAATCTGTGGTTTTTATATCATACCTGTTCCAAGTAATAACTGAACTTTCTTTTCTTGACAGATCAAACCAAGCCCAGAAGGTTCCAAAGAATATTTTGAAAAAGTGCATTACTAAACACTCAAATATGTGGACACAATTCTTTAGTTTTGTCTACAGAAGACATTAGGAAAACAGCTGTGATTGTAAAAATTAATAATAAAAATAAAAGCTGTCATTTTCTCATGTTTAAGAAGAAATTAAATGCTAAAATATTTACTGACTCCCTTGTCTTGCTTTAAAAAGGGTAAAACTAAGGCTTTCCCCCTGCCTTCTGCAACTTCAGTTTCATGGATTTCTGTGACCATTATTCATCTTCTGAATGTTACAGTTACAAGTTACAGTTGCCTTCCACTGGCTTTTCCCTTTATCTAGTTTTGGACCAGAAAATTTCCTGCATTTCATTTTCTCACACAATGTAAAAGTCAGTTAAAAAAAAAGGAAAAATACAAGGATGGAATTTTGATACATGGTTTGTTTTTAATAATTTTTGCAGAGGAAGATGAATGTAACAAGTAAAAATAATTTAAAAATCATTGGTTTTGTGTGTAAATGCACTAAAACGTGGAAAGAATGTAAATGTGTGCCATTTAAAACAGAAGTGCAGCTACTCAGGAGCACTAACAAGCATGAACTTTAATTTTGTTTGGGAACCCCCACAGTGCACTTATTGGAGCTTAATGGCAAAGTTTCTTTCACTTGAATTTGCTTGACTCTTGTACTGCTTGAAACTGATGTAGCATCTCTCTAGCCATAATAAAATAATCTTAACGTGGCCTAGCAGCAGGTGTGGTGCTTTGCTTTTCTTTCTCTGTTTCTCTGGAAAGAACTGGGTGTGTTCATTGCCTCAGCAGCTCTGACAGCAGCTCACAGCCCATGGACACAAAGTTCTGTGGGGCTGCACAGATCAATAAAATGTTCTGTGTGTTTCTGTTTTCCATCTTTTGACCCTCTGAGCAAAGAAGCACAAGGTGGCTGAGCCCTGAGCGAGCTTTATAACGGGGAAGCTGCTGGAAGGGAAAAGCCAATGGGGCTGGGCCTTGCCTGCCTGGTGTGAAAAACGCCAATCACTTGTTTTTAAAATTTTCAAAGTTTAATAGTAATAAAATGGTTATAAAAATAGTAATATAATTAGAGTAATAATAATTTGGACGATTTGAATTATGACAATATGAGACAGTAGAGACAAAGAGTTATGGACATCTGGGTACCTTCTTCTGGGCAGCATAAGCCTGAAAAAGGACACATTAACAGAGGATTAACCCTTAAAAACAACAGCCTGTTGCATATTCATACACCTCATACAAGATGCATAAATTCTGTTCAAGCACAGGATTCTGTCTGGTCATCGTCAACTTCTTCCTCTGAATCCTAACAGCACCTTGGAGGCAGGAAGAAGTTCATTTCTTCTGCTAAGAGGGCAATAAATTCTCTTTCTCTGAAAGATTCAGGTGTCCTGTGGTTGCTATCTTGCTGCAAGTCCTTTCTTTTTTAAAAAAAGTATCCTACATAGCATAGTTTGTATTTTAACATTTTTATAACCTAAAACTATATTTAATACACTGCTTAAGAGAATAAAT